TTTTTTTTTTTTTTTTTTTGTGATGATGTCTTAAGATGAAAGATCTTCCACAGTTTATCACACGTTTCACAGAGTACCTCTCATACTGCAGGCATTCAATTATTCAGCTGATGTATATGAGAGTTCAATTCTACTGAGTAGTTTGGATTAATAAACTGAGTTCTAACTTGTGAAATGACTGCTATGTACAGTCAAAACCAGAATAGCCCTGTAATGAATAAAATTAAATTTCTTTCACTGAGTTTCAACAGCCTGACACAGATTCCCTCTGTCGGCTGGTCTTTCAATGGCAGTAAGTCCTGGAATATCAGAAACAGCAATCATTTCTGCCAACACATAACTCTCTGGATTTGCTAGTCACTGATTTGTGCTGCTGATCTACTCTGTAAAAATTATACTGTGATGATCCAGCATCTCTCTATGAGGAGGCAAGCTTTCTCTAAGGTTGCAGCAGAGTAAAAAGGAGAAGGAAAAGAGGACACAGGACAGCAGGGATAAACGTACCTGGTTTAAATGGGAATGTGATCCCGTCACCAGAACTATCGGTGGAACCTGAATTAGCATCCGCTCCGTCACCCTCTGAAATACTCTCAGCACCATTATGCACAGGCTCAGCTTCTTCTCCATTTTCTTCCACAGCTTTCACCTTTTTTAGGTCAGAGGGTTCTCCCTCAGGATGAAATCCTTGGCTCATTTTATCAGGTTCAGATTCAAGTATTCTGTCAATTGAACACTCCTCTTCAAGCTTAGGCTAAAGCATAAGTGAACAAAGAAATTACATTTTCTTTCTCACACATGTAAATATACATAAAATTCTATAAGTATCCCCTTAACATCAAGAGAAAACATGTCATTCAAGATAAAAACATTTGTGTTCAGGATATGGTACTAAAATGGTAGGGGTTTTGTTTGAGCCAGGGTGTTGCTACGCAGTTTAGGATGCCCTCAAGCTCACTTTGTAACCCAGGATGGTCTCAAACTTGCACGGATCCTCCTGCCTCAGCCTTCTGAGGGCTGGGATTATAGGCATGAGTCAACAAGCCAAGCTCTTAAAAAAAGTAGGTTTTAAAAATACTTTACTCATTTCACCACCTACAATAAGGCAAACAATTCAACTGGCTACTGAAACACTTTTATGTATGACTAATGAAATACAAATGTACCAACAGTTAGAATGGAAAGAACTGTTAATCCTTGGAACTTGATGGACATGAAAGAATCCTAGTCAGAAATCTAAAACAAGCACTCTACCTCCTGCCACTAAAGCTCTACAAATATAAAAAGAAACACTATGGAGTGTATTTCTGTGTTGTCTTCTGGCTGTGAAACAGAGTTTGGAAAATAGTTTTCAAGTGTATATGTTCTATGAAGATGAACATATCTCATTTGATAAGGAGGCCACCTGTTAGTTTACAATGTATTTTGCACGTTAGTTTTTAAGATTATTTGAGGTGATATAGTAAATACGTACATACACACACACACACGGCAGAAAAAAAAATCATATAAGGAAAATGCTCAGAACACATCTCCCTAAGGAAAAATCTGGGTTCAAAAGTATCAATTCTTTTTTAAAAAGGCAAACACACTCACTCACTCACATAAATAAATAAATAAATAAATAAATATTGAAGTTATTCTTAGGATTATTTTTTACTATCTTCATGTTAGATATCAAACCAAATGGGGCATCAGAAGTGCCTAAAGCAAAACTCTCTGAAATTTAAGGTTCTTGCTCATGAAGAGCAGCATTACGAATACAGTTCTGGAACAAGTATTTAGAGGAAAGAGGAATTTCCACTTGATACCTTCATGCTAGAAGAGCCAAAAATTTGTTCCCACTATAGCACAGTTAAGTGTCCTGGGAGATAGTTCACACTAATTGCTCTATGGAAGAAAAGTTTTTTAAACTGTAGTGACAAATCTTACTTTATTACTTAAAAGATTTTAACATGTGTAAATAAATATGGTAAATTTTCTATCATACATCAGATCACAGAGAAAATACACTAAACTTTGAAATGTTATTAGTAGAAATAGCTTTTTTTTTTGCTCCGAATGCCCTCAGGGCAGGTTTGGCTGGCTTGAGTTGTGGGGATGAACCACTGCAACCTGAGCCTGACTGCTTTGTTGAAGCAGCCACTTAAAGAACTGAGCTAAGGGGCAGGCCCCCGAAATAGATGATTTTTAAGGTCCTGATTCTACAATGGAAGTAAGGAAATACACACAAAGATACACAAATGCCCAAGGGAAGAAAGAATAGGGAAAAGAGAAAAGGTATAAAATGCCAAGAATCAACATTAGGAAATAAATCCTTTTTGTTTCTTTCTTTTTTTTTTTTTTTTTTTTTTTTTTTTTTTTTGCAGAACCAAGGATTGAACTCAGGCCCTTGTGCTTACCAGGGAAGCATTTATTCTACTGAGCCATCTCCCCAGCCCCAATAAATCCTTTTGTAAAAACAGCAGGAAGTAGGCATATTCTATCCTTTAGTGAAACAGATCTGAGACTGGATCATGATTCAGCAGCCTCATTCTTAAAAACTGCATACTGTTACAGTCTAAATGAACTCATGAACTCACAATGACTTCCCAACAACGTGATTAAGCACAGGTCCTCAAGATGCTCCCCACCTTGTCACTGAGTCGCGGCCTCATTCTGTTGCTCAGGCTGGCTTACAACTGCAGGACTGAAGCAATCCTCCAGCCTCCGTCTAAAGTAAAGGTCCACCTACACTACTACACTACACTACTCTAGCCTGACACAGGAAGATCTTTAATAATTCAAGGCATAAATATATAAATGGTACTAAAGAACAGAAAAGCTATACTATATAATGATGCAGAGTGCTCCAGATTTTATAAAAACGTGAAAAAAAATTAGGAAAAGTTACTGAGTTCTCTGTATCGAAAACCGGTAACAACACATAGAGACTGTATTACTTGGAACCTCAATTTCTCACTGCAAAAAGAAGCGTAAGGAATTTTGTCACATGAATAGCAAACCATAATTCAGAGAATACAGAACCACTGAAGAGTTTGGGGCATAGTGTAATGAATATTTGAAAGTAAGTAGAAAAATTAAATGTAAATGGTGATTATTTTTCTTTTAGCAGGGTGAAATATCAAACCAGTCTGAAAGTGTCTTAACAGTTCCTAAAAAACTAGAGTGAAGGAAAAGCACCTCATTGTCTGTATGATGCAAGGTGAACCTTTGATAAGAACCTGTTAAAAAAGAAGGTAGCCTGCCTACATATTTTAAAACAAATTTTAAGATGCCTCAGCCAACAATTTTATTTATTAAGTTTATTTGCAGTGCTAGGAGACCACTACCATTTTAAAAACAAAACATCCTTTTGCTGCTTTTCTAGACTACAGTTTATAGGATGTGTCTAAAACAATTATTTTTAAAGAGTGATTAAGAATGGCAAGGCTTGATGAATTGAAATAAGAACAAAACTATCTGATACTAACTAAAGTGCTTGATCAAGTATGTTAGATTAGGAAAGGCAAGGGCTAGGATTTCTGAAAAGTCTGTTAGCAAATAACCTTTAAATTTTATTTTTAAAGCACAAGGTTAGCAAATCAGCGCCTGTTTCAAATCAGTCAACACAGGTTTGTTTGTAGCTAAAGCAGGTTCCATGCCCAGGGACCATCTCTGACTCACCACTTGGGTGTGCAAAGGATGCAAGGTAAGAATGGTTTCTGTATTTGTAATGACTGAAAAAAACTGGGAAATATATTTCATGCCACACGAGTTCAAATGTCAGTGGGCGCTGATAAAAAAGTTTTACTGGAACATACTTATACTTCTTTATTTATACTGTTATTGTGTCAGGAACCATGCAGTCTACAGTTGTAAAATATTTACTATCCAGACACGCATGGAAAAATTTTGCTGACCTTCAAGCTAAAGAACAAGATCAGTATCTGAAGGCATGGGAATGGCAGCCCATCCATTTAATATTTAATAACTTGGAATTTAGCCTTATTACAAAGGAACGTGAAGTATAACAAGGAATTTAAAACCACTGGAATCTAAAGGGAAATCAGTTTATGAAGCTTATAGCCATACCAGGAATGAATGTGAATCTCCTGCCTCTAGAAGGTATTTTATTCTCGGTAGGAGCGTCATTTTCTTGTTCAGCTCCAAGAAAAGTGCAGCAACTATTTTATATCTCTGTTAGTCCTTGTTCTTACCTTGATAACTGCAATGAATTCATACCTGTTCAGCATTTTAGCGATTGCTATGGGACTGTGACACTAACAGAACATCGTCTAAGAGCTATGACAGGGCAGGAAAGAAAGAAACGGGTGCTGTTAGCTATGTGAAGGGGATGAAAAGTTTAATTAGCTGGGGGAAAACCCCAGCGCTCAGGAAAATGTGAGGCTGTGGCAGGAGGACTGCAGTTCAAGGCCTTTCTGGGCAATTAGCAACTTAGTGAGAACCTGCCTAAAAAACCTTTCTTTCCTCCAAGGATTGGGTAAATAGATGTGTTAGTTGGTACAATGTGTCAACTTGGCTGACTCAGCTCGGGCAGCGTGGGGGCCTCGCCCTGCAGGTGGGCAGGGCCCGGAATTGAGAAAGGTTTCCTGCCCCTGCTTGGTTTCCTGCTGCCCCGCCCTGCTTCCGTGGAGAAGTCCATCTTCAGAGGAGCTTGATCTTGGCAGCCGCGCCGCAGTCAGTGCAGAAGGAAGAGAGAGGCCTGATGGACGCCGCCGCAGCTGCTGCTCCTCCTCTGCTCTTCATTGTTTTCTGCCGCATGAACTGCTGCTGTTTGCCTTGGAGCCAGCGGGAATATGGACTGAACCCTCCAGTAACTGTGAGCTAAATAAACCTTTCCTTCCTTCATTTTGAGTGTCGGGTATTTGTCCCAGCAATGAGTAAAAAGTAACTAAAACAGTAGGTCAGCAGAAAAGCCCCTTCGAATTCACCGAGATTCTCCTGTCTTAGCCTCCTGAGTGCTGCAATTACAGGTTTGCATCATGACACCCGGCTTATATTTTCAAGGAAAGATGAGAATCCAGTAAAATTAATCATGTTATTAAAGTTTCTATGTAAACCTTACTCTATATGAACTTTAAAAATCTCTCCATTTGATATATCAAGTTTTGCTTCGAAAATGGTATGTCAAAAAAAAAAAAAAAAAAAAAAGAACAACCTTTCACTAGTCTTAGGAAAGGGCATCACTGAGTTAAAGATGAGCTAAAGAGTTCTGCTGTCCCTTACCTCCAATTCTGCCTCTAACACCTCTTCAGTGGTCCGGGTTCGATCTTTTGGTTTCTTCCATGTCTTTGGTAGAGTTGTAACTGTTGGAGCTGAAACACAAGATTAGGGACATTATTCATCACTGGAAAGTCATCCTAAGAGTAAGCATGTCTAAATTTCTATATCCAAATTCAGCGTAAGACAAGACTTCTCCTGTACCAAGGAGACAGTTGTAGCTCTGACTGTAATGACAAGTGTCTCAGGCACAGACTCACAGTTTGCCAAGCAGTGGCCTCGGGTCTCTTCCTATTTTCGTGGCAAGACACACTTAAGGCATGTAATTTGGTATAACCTGAGCATCCCTAAAATGAAAATCCCAAATTTAGAGCATTTCAGATTTTCAGTTTAGGAATGCTATCAGTAAATCTATATAAATATTCCCAAATTGTAAAAACTTGGGAATCTAAAATACTCATGTTCAAAGTATTTCAGATAAGAGGTACTCAAGCAGAATGCATTAAGTATCTATGTAACAAAAATGCCTTGAATGAATTCTAGTCCTAGGTCTGTTTCAACTGAATGAATTTTGCAGTGTTAAGCTTAAGTCACACTTCTCAGGTTCCTGCATAATTTAACTGTAGAGCAAAAGAAGGAGAATTGGTCAGTGAGGGTCTTCTAAGCTATAAAGACATTATGCTTAGCCTTCATTTTTTTTTTAATTTATTTATGTGTGTGTGTGTGTGTGTGTATGTGTGTGTGTGTCCAGCTCAGCCCACCAAGGGGCGGGGCTGGCTGGCATGTGGTGCTAGGGGATTGAACCGTGGTCCCTGTGTCTGCCAAGCTTGTTCCAAGTAGGTGCTTTAGACCACTGAGCCATCTCACCAGCCCCTTAGCCTTCATTTTTAAAAAGCTTTCTAGACAACCAAAGGTATTTTTAGGTTTCACAAATTCACTTTCCATCTCAGATCAATACCACTAGCCTAACCTTTCATTCAGCCGGAATGGAAAATTAAGAAACCAGTTAATTTTTACTGGATTACTCTACTGTAAGAAATTCTAAATGGAAGATCAAGCTCCAATCCCCTGCTTTTTATTATAGTGCTGCGGACTGAACTCAAGGAATCAAGCAAGAAGTTAAAACCCTATCCCTTAAATGACTTTTAAACATTCACGTGGCATACAAATTCCACAGAATCATTTAACATTTAGACATAAAATCTAAATTAACCATCAGATAATAACAGAAAATATTAAAAAGATCTTATAGAGGACACCTTTTTGGACAACAGACAAAATATCAAGTTGCTGTAAGCCAATAGCTAAAAAGAGTTTAAGAGAAGTTACTAGAAATATTACCAAAAGGAATAGACAAAACATAACATTTAATGATTCCCTACAAAAATGTAACATCATTCACTGAGGTCCTCCTTGGTTTGGTTTCATTTTTGCGACAGGGTCTCGCTCTGGAGTTCAACCTGGGCTTAAATCTAACTCTATGGAGCCTAGAATGGCTTCAAACTCTTGGAGATCCTCCTGCCTCAGCCTCCCAAGTGCTGGGATTACAGGCATGAGCCACCATGCCCAGCTCATTCAGACTCTGGCACAGACAGCCTTAAATCTTTTTTTTTTTTTTTTTTTTTTGAGATGAATGGAGTGTGAATGTACAAACTGTTTTGGGATAAAACACATTTAATACTTTTTAAAATTATGGCACTATAATAAAAATACTCTAAACTTTTCACAACACACCTCAAACCAATTCTTCCCCTTGGGGAGTATAATAAACAAGCAACGATCATTAGGTTGTTATTCTTCCTTTGTGGCCTGCTCAAGGTAACCACTTTCTCAAACTATGCAAACTATGGGTGGGTTTCAACTTACTATTGTACCATAGTCTTCTACCAACTATGTAGATTTTGTAGTTGTCTATCTTTTAAAAATCTGATTTGATACAACCAATCTATTTTATTTATTTTAAATTTTTTGTCATTTTGAGACAGGGTTTCACTATGCAGTTTAGACTGGCCTTGAACTCACTTTGTAGCCCAGAGTGGCCTTGAATTCAAAGAAATACTCCTGGCTCAGCCTGAGTGCTGAGATTACAGGCATGCACCACCCTGTCTATCTAGTGTATTTTAAAAGCATACTCCAAACATGCTTTTGATTTTTAATTCTGCTTCTATCCTCTTAAAAGTTATGGAGCTTAACTGTTCATTTTATTTCAAATTTTGTATTTCTGAGATTCTGTTCAGTTTGGTTTGGCTTAGAATTTTTTATTAATTCACATATGAATTCTGCTTCAAATTCCAGGCAACAGGAAAAGGAGAGGATCGTTTTTTTGGCAGATTCCCTAAAATCAAGTATAAACTCAGAAGTAGTTTTCCCTACACAATAAAAAACAAAGTAAGATGTATATAAGATTTTCTTTCCATGATTATATCAACTACATTCAACCTAAAATATTAATAAACAAAGCATTTCTTCAATGATTAATACCACACACTAAAGATTTTTGCAAACTGATTAGTCAAGATTTGTTTATTTATCTTGCTGAAGTGCCTAATGTCTTGTCTTAAAAGACTTCAAAGTAGAAATTCAAGAAAAAGGTGAGAATGTCACTTGTTCTGGGATGAAAGAATACACGGGCCTTTAAGAGCTATATGGTCCTTTTAAAATCAGACAGTGGAGCCAGGGAGATAGAGCTTAGTAGAATAAGCAGCTGCCTGGCAAGCGCAAGGTCATGAGCTTAGTCTCTGGTACCCAAAATAAAATAAAATCAGGCGCTGATACCTAGAGAAACCATGCTATACAGCACCTTCCCTATCATTACTGGCAGGAAACTCAGTAAGTTTAGGTGTGTTGGGTGAAAGGGGAAGAACAGGAATAAAAGAAAGAGAAGAGGAAGAGGGGAGGGGAGGGGAAAAACACTGATTAATAAGACAATATCCAAGTAGTTAAAACATGGGAATAAATTTAGGATGTGGTCACAGATTTGTTTTTTGCTTTCTAATCCACTGTGCAATTTGGGCACTAAAATTTGTTTACTGAAAAAGTAATATTAGCTATATTAAAGAGACATCAGTATTTTTTGCAAAGCCAAGAAATAGACATCAAGTTTCACACCAGCTAGGTAAGCACTCTACTGCTGAGTTCTGAAAGAGGACATTATCAAGGAGAATATATCATTTGTTTTATATTGTATTTCACTAAAGCATCCCAGAACAAGTGACAATCTCTGCATAGAATTCAGAAACTACCTGGACTTAAATTTACTTTGTTTTATATTCTATTTCACTAAAGCATCCCAGAACAAGTGACAATCTCTGCAGTGAATTCAGAAGTTACCTGAACTAAAATTTGTTTAAAGATGCTTAAAGAAGCTTCCATACATACTTAATTCATTGCTATATTTAAGCTCTACTACTTTGAAAAATAAACAACCATTCCTCATAAGTCTTTTTTTTTTTTTTTTTTTCTTAATCAACCAACACACACATTTGGAAAGCCACTGGGGATATACGATACAGGTTTTAGTAAGATTCCTTATCTTCCCACCACAGAGGTTTTCAATTTATGCCAAAAACTGCATCAAACTAAAAATATTTCCATTTTGAACTCTGGCCCTAGATATGGCACAATGAGCCTCTCAACTGAGCCATCGAATCTGGCAATGACTTCGTTTTAATATCAAACCACAGTAAAGTCACATTTTCCTGGTATTTTTAAAGAGCTTCACAAACCATCCCCACAGACGGCAGGTATTATTTTAGCACAGATGCTATTATCTAGTATTATAGATGCTATGGTTTTTCAGGGGCTTTTCACATATGTTCTACCAGAGTAAAGTTTCTTTTCTTTTTTTGTATTTCTTAGGGAAGGATCTACAGGGTGTTCAGGGTCTCACAACTAGATCAGACTCGGAATGATCTGCCTGTTTACAGCCTCCCAAGAGCGGGGATTACAGACGTGCGACACCACACTGGGTCTCAACTGCTGTCTCAGCGTGCCCTGGGGGTGGGCCTGGCACAGCAGGCCAGGGAATTGAACCCCTGACCCATGCACCTGCTTGCAGGCTCTTTAATCAGTTGAGCTATTTGGCTGGCCCCAGAGTATAGTTTCTACTCTTGTAACATAGGATCTGATAAACATCTCTATTACTGCAAAACCTAGAAGATAAACCATGGTCTAGGAGAAAATGCCTGGCACTAATGCAGAAGGTCTATACATATACAAGTTTCTGTTAAACCCATATGACATTTAAAAAGTTTTTTGGGCCAGGGAGCTAGATCAGTAGAATAAGCGTTTCCCTGGCAAGTGCAAGGACCCGAGTTCAATCCCCAGTTCTGCAAAAAAGAAAAAAGAAACCTCCACAAACTGAAATGCTAGCTTTCACAGAGAAGAGCTAAGTCAAGAGATAGCTATGTAATACATCCTGAGGATATACTGCTTTCTAAAACATCATTCTATGTAAGAACATAGATCATGTTTTTATGATCATCATTTTGGTCTGTTTTCTTTTCAGCATGCAGAGAGTATGCATATTGCACATTTAGTTTTATGATCATCAACAAGTACTCGCTTTCTCTTTTTGCAGAAACATCATCTCCTAGAGAAACTCCAGATATGAACTCACTGTTTTTAATCTAAAATCCCAACTTAAAAGGAATGTCAAAAATTACAAAAATTATTTTTAAGAATTAAAACCAGGGGCTGGGGAGATGGCTCAGTAGAATAAGCGCTTCCCTGGCAAGCTCAAGGGCCTGAGTTCAATCCCTGGTTCTGCCAAATAAAAAACAGGTGGATCACTACAAGTCTGATCTAGTAGTGAGAACCTGAACACCCTGTAGAGCTTTCCCTAAAATACAAAACTAAAAAATAAAAAAAAAGAATTAAAACTGGGGCTTGGAAGGTAGCTCAGTAGAATAAGTGCCTGCCTGGCAAGTGCAAGGGCCTGAGTACAATCCCCGGTTCTGCAAAAAAAAGAATTAAAATCTCCTTATCATGGGAATTGATACATACACATATTACATCTTGATCCTTTTTATTTCCCATTTGCTTCTTCTCTCACCTTTCCATGTAAGAAAAATGTCTCATATCTGAGATGAAACAT